ACACCCTGAGAATATTTGACTGTGAGACTTTGTGTCATGGTGAGTAAAGCTCTACTTAGATAATAGTTCTCAAGCACACGGAATTCATTTTGGCCATACCCGCTTTATGAAGCCTGGTTCACACTTCTTCTGGGCAGTTTCCTATCCTTCTTTATAGATTTCTGCCTTCAGCCGGTGTGTTTCCAATGTCTGTTCTGTTGGAAAGAAAAAAAAAAAGTACAGAAGCTATTTGGCATAGAGACAAAAAGATCATGTAGGAAAACAGCCTGACTAAAATCTCATTAAGGCTTGCTGATTTATTTCAGGGGCTCCGATTGTATAAGTGTTTCTTTAATTATGTATGTTTTTATTTTAAATTCATATTTTACCCATAGACACAGCCGCCGTCGAGTTTAGATTCACTTGCCCGTAACAAACAACAAACTTGCAAGCAAACACAACTGATGTCTTCACCTTCTGGAGAAATTAAAAAGCAGTGATGTAGAAGAACACGATGCAGGAATGATAACTGCTGAGTGTTGTTTTTCCTCTTTCTTTTCCTTTTATTAGTCTAATGCTTACCTGCAGGATAAAATTATCATCAAATAATGACAGTCTCTATATAGACTCAAAGGTTTCGATGGAATTCTAGTTTGAAGGGATGGGTGTAGGAGGAACTTTAGAAAGACCACATTCTTTATTCCGAGTAGAATTAAAATATAAGGATCAAAGTATATATACGTATCATTAAACATTTATGACTAGAAAAAAAGAAGCTAAATAAAAATATTTCAAAAGAGCCTTTGTTTATTTAGCTGGCCCAAATCAAGATTATGACTTTTAAGCAATGAATATGTGCAATGCATAGATGAACATCCCAAGCTTTTCTTTCAGCCAGTTCTATAAATGTCATCCTATACCAAAGTTTTTCACCTAATTACTTAAAGCTGTAAAAGTAGCCTTATTGCAATTTGTAATCTTTCCTCTCTTCCCATCTTTTTTAAAATTAATAATAAGCGATATTAATACGTGGTGACTGTAGTGAAGTTACAATTGTAAAATTACCATTAGATTCCTTCTTTCATTCATTAATTTTTTAATTTAATTAATTTATTTAGAGAGAGAGACAGAGAGAGTGAGCAGGGGAGAGGCAGAGAGAGAGGGAGAGAGAATCCAAAGCATGCTCCATGCCTTCAGCACGTGGAGCCCCATGTGGGACTCAAAACTCACTAACTGTGAGATCATGACCTGAGCCAAAACCAAGAGTCAGATGCTCAACCAATTGAGTCACCCAGGCGCCCCTGATTCAGTAAGTTTTTATTGAGTGCCTTCTTATGGGGCAGCCACTGTTGTTGGTAAGGAGATCCAACAGGAAACTACACAGCCACAAATTCTGCCCTCCTGAAGCTTATACTCTAGTGTGGGCTACAGATTATAAACAAGATAAGCACATATATGGCATCATAGATGGTGATCATTAATAAGAGGGAAAGTTAAGAGGGAACACCTAGGTCAAGGGAAATGTACCTAATCCAGTTTTGGATAACCGAGAAATTACTGCGTTTCCACCAACTGCCAGCCCTGACAAGAAAGAGGATTTTCTTTAGCTCCTAAACGTGGATGCTTCCAATCCTGGTCATTTCCTGAGTTACCTTTCACCCATTGCAATACTAGTGCAGAGACTTTCCAACATGTCTGTGACCTAATCTGGCCTCTGTCTGAGTTGTATGCCTTATTTACAAAATTATATATTGTCAATTTGTTTGCCTTCGGGAGTTTAGTTGGGGTCACTGCTTGCTGGTGGTGCCCATGAAGGCCAGTAGAAACATGGAAAGTTTGTTAGTAGATAAGGCAGAGACTCCAGAGAAGACTGCCTTGGCTCAAATCCCAGCTCTCATCAGCTGTGTGCCCACGGTCACTATACTTAACTTCTCTGTGCTTTTATTCTCTTCGGCTACAGAGTAAGGATGATAATGGTATTTACTTCACAGAGCTGTCACGTTAATGTATATATAAATCACTCAGAACAGTGCTTGAGAAATTGTTTATTAAATAATACAAAGAAGACCACTTTGGGCATCTGTCCAAGAGGGTTTCAAATTTAAGTTGGGTTGAATGCTATGGTTCATGCCACACCCCCTCCTCAGACACCGCAGGTAAAGACCATTTTCTTTAATACCTGGAAGTGACACTGGATTTAGTGAAGTTTTCTTTGGGACTTAAAGAGAGGGGAGAGGCTGTATCTCCTAGGTATGCAGTGACTTTGAAGAGAAGTTTGAGTCCCTATATATCAGAAAAGCTGCATTTGTTGTTTACTCTTTATTGTCATTTTTCTCCCAATGAAAAGTAAGTTCCATGAAGGCAAGGATTTTTGTTTTGTTTTGCATTGGCTTTTGCTTTTTGTTGTTGTTGTTGTTTACAGATATATTCCAAGGCCAAGAATAGTGTTTGGCATACGGTTCGCATCTAATACATGGCATAAATAAATGAGCAAATGAATGAATGAATAAGTGGGTGAAATACAATTTAAATAGAAGTCTCAGGAGCCGGGTTTAATGCCAGCTTAGTCACTAATTTCACTAGGGCTTTGTCACTTATCCATCTGTAAGACATTTTCATTTTTTGGAACTTTTATTAGATGCCAGTCTATGAAAGGTAATCTAGTAGACTGTGCGCTTTCAGCAAGTTCACAATTGGGTAGCATAGGTAAGAAAGGGACATAAATAAGTAACACAAGGTAGAAAGAGCAAGGTATTCTAAAAGAAAAAAAAATAGAAAGTGGGAACTGTAAAGTGAGTGAGGGATCTGTAGGCCTCAGAGATTTCTTACTGGTCTTTTATCTGGTAGGGTTGCTTGGGCTGATTCAGGCACTCCTGTGAAGTCTTCTTACACAAATCTTTGGAAAATTAAGATCTTTGTCAAGCTCACAAGCCTCGTGAAACCCTGACAGACATGCATGAGGAATTCTAGTGAAACAAGACACCCTAGTGTATAAAGGCAAACAGTGAGAGAGGACAGTTGTTCCCCAGGGGGCCTCTGATGAGGTTTTGTGAGTCTGATTATTATTTAGTTGATTCGTATATATATTTACATTTCCAGTTGTTTTGTTCCTTTCCAGAGTTATGTGTGTTATTTAATTGGTAGAAATACATAAGGTTGTTTGATATATGCATAGTGAGAATTTGTTTCTCTGACAATGATTACTTATATTTGTACAGAATAACATTACGAATGCATTAAATGCAGATACCCAAAAGAAATTGCAGCTATAAATTTCATTTACAGAAAAGTAGACATCAACCGTTCTTTATTTTTTTGCCTTTTTTAGATTCAATCTTCATAATATTGAAGAAAAAATTGTCTGGTTTTTTAAAAAGCAATTCTACTGAAAGTCATTTATGACCATGATGATGAAAGGATTGTTAGTGAATTTTTTTATTTTAAAAAGCTGAAAAATGCTCCATTTTATATGTATAAAGTCATTGAGAAGTATAAAAATGAGAAAATAATAGCTCCTTTATAATTAAAATCCTCTGGTTTGTTCACAAAGGCATGCCCAGGAAGACAGTGGGGGGGGGGGGCACCTGGGTGGCTCAGTCTGTTAAGCGTCCAACTTCAGTTCAGGTCATGATCTCACAGTTCGTGGGTTCAAGCCCTGCATCGGGCTCTGTGCTGACAGCCATCTCAGAGCCAGGAGCCTGCTTCGGATTCTGTATCTCCCTGTCTGTCTGCCCCTCCCCCTCTCATGCTCTGTCTCAAAAATAAATAAAACATTTAAATATTTTTAAAAGAAGAAAGAAAGGAAGGAAGACAGTGGGATAACACACAGTCTTGAGTCAGAACAATAATAGCCAACATTTCCTGAACAGCCACTATGTCAGACACTCTTCTGAGAATTTTACATGTTTTAACGCATTGGATCCTTATAGTAACCATGAGAAGCTGATGATTTGATTATCTCAATCATACAAATTAATAAATCCAATGAGAGGCATGAAGGGAATTGCAATCTTCAAGGCCAGGAAGGGACTGGGCAGAAATTTGAAGCAACCCCCCCTCTTCCTCCAACCTCTCCAACCCTGAAGGACCCTGGACCAAGTGTGTTGACTCACCAGGCAAACAGCAATTACATAATAATTGTAACCATGGCAATGATCCAGCCTCTGTCTCCACAGCTTGGGGCTTGTCCCCCATAAGATTACCAGGATTTTTTGGATAATCACTACATTGCAGCGCTACGAGAATTCTCTGAATGCTCTATAAAAAGATAGTAGCTAAGATAAAGTTCAAATGCTGAATATTGGAATCTTTCAATATTTTGACTTGTATGTTTTCATAAAGTTAGGTTTAGATCTCATTATTTCTGACTCCCTGAGGGTTTTAAAGAAGTAAATGACAAGACTCAATTGCAGACAGGGGGATGAGGGGAAAGAAACATTTATTGAGCACATAATAGGGCCAGGCTTGTGCTAGAGCCTTCCCTGGCATTATCTCCAACAGTATACAGAATAATTCTGTTATTCATTTATTCATGAATTCATTCATTGAGATAATGATGGAAATGAATTTCAAGTTGGCAAAGTGCAGATAAAAGCGGGGTAGGAGGAGAGCCTGGGATGGGGCTGAGGTTGGGCCCAAGGATGTGGAAAAGGATGAAATGGAAATGGCTTTGAGTTGGGGTGGAGATGAGATGAGGTTGGACACAGTGTATCACCCTCTGACATACTATATGTTTTACTTATTCATTGATGGTCTCTTTTCCCTTACTAGACTGTAAACTTCTGGAGGGCTCAGGTTATTTTTTGTTTTCTTTACTATTGCATTTCCAGGGCCTAAAACAAGTCTTAATATATAGTGCGTATAAATACTTATCTACTAATTGAATGAATGAATGAATGAATGAAGTTTTCATAAGTATTCATTTTGCTGTACGAGTCAGTTCACGAGTGCCGGGGTGTCCATGATGATAAAAGGAAACTTTCCTGTTCTTAATAAACTTGCAGCTGAAGGTTGAACACTTAGGCAGGTTACTACCGCTGATGTGAAAGGTACTGCTGTGAAGGAGGAATTCAAGGAGCACCTGTGTGATCCTGTGAACCTAATCCAGTCCTGGGGAGGCCTTCCTAGGAGACACAAGATCATCTAAGCTGAGACCTCAGGTAATACAGGAGCAGTCAAAAAGTTGGGGGGAAAGGCTGTTCCAGGCAAAGGAAATAATAAGGAAAGGTTATCAGGTGGAGGATGCAGGGCAGGTTCAGGGGACTCTAAGGTTGTCTTAATGTCTTCATTTTTGTTTTGAGACAATTGAAGGTCAGACAAGTAAAATCAGGGGCGCCTGTGTGGCTCAGTCAGTTGGGCATCTGACTTCGGCTCAGGTCACGATCTAGCTGTTCATGAGTTTGAGCCTCGCGTCAGGCTCTGTGCTGACAGCTCAGAGCCTGGAGCCTGCTTCAGATTGTGTCTCCCTCTCTCTCTGACCTTCCTCTCTCTCTCTCAAAAGTAAATAAACATTAAAAAAAAAAAAGAAAAATAATTGTCCCCAAGCCACACTGAATCCAAAGCCCAACTCAGTTGTGTCTGCATTCAAATGCCAGCTTTTCCAATCTGCCGTATGTATATGATCTCATAGACCAGTGCCTCCTAGTACTAACATTCCCTCCCCTTGCTCATGTGGCTATATTTTTCCAAATGGAAAACGTTAGTCTCATTTCTTACTATTTAACATACTCCTCAGAGAACCACAGGGCCAATAACTTTTTGGTTTTTTTCCTCACATAATATAGACTGGGACCAAGCAAAAGTTACAGGAAGTTGTGTTTACTTTCTTAGGACTCCAGAGGTTTACTGTATGGACTCATGTCCATTTAATGAACGTAGCTTAAAGGAATAGAAAAATTCATGCACCTCCAAAAAAGCTCATTTTCTCCTGGGAAATGGTTTTTACACAGGGATTATCATCCCTATCCCAAAAGAAAGAATTGCTCAACAATTGTTACAGCAAATTCTGTACAGGCATGCCTCAGAGATATTGTGGGTTCAATTCCAGACTCCTGCAATAAAGTGAATATTATGATAAAGTGAGTCAGAGGAATGTTTTGGTTTCCCAGTGTATATAAAAGGTATGTTTACACTATACTGTAGTCTATTAAATGTGCAGTAGCATTATATCTGGGGGAAAAAACCATGTATATATCTTAATTAAAAATACTTTTTGCTGGGGAGCCTGGGCGCCTCAGTTGTGTGGGTGACAGGCTCCTGGTTTTGGTTGAGTGACTGGCTCTTGGTTTCAGTTCAGGTTATGATCTCACAGCTCGTGAGTTTGAGCCCTGAGTTGGGCTCTGCGTTGAGAGCGCAGAGCCTGCTTGGAATTCTTTCTCTCTCCCTCTTTCTCTGCGCCCCCCCCCCGTTCTCTCTCACACACACAATAAATAAACTTAAAAAAATACTTTGTTGTTCAAAAATGCTAACCATCATTTGAGGTTTCAGTAAGTCATAATCGCTGATCAAGATCCCATAACAAATGTAATAATAATGAAAAAGTTTTAAATATTTTGAGAATTACCCAAATGTGACACAGAGACACAAAGTAAGCAAATGCTGTTGGAAAATGGTGCCGGTAGACTTGCTCGAGGCTGAGTTGCCACAGACCTTCTATCTATAAAAAGTGCAGTGTCTGTAAAATGCGATAAAACAAGGTATACCTGTAATAAGCACAGTCTAACTGGTGGAGGTTTGGGCTTGCATCCAGCCAATATCATCTGCATATAGAGAACTCATTCCACATTACCTGTGAGCCAGCTTTGCCTTCTTCTGAAGACTTCATTTGCTCTTGCTCATGGAACCAAAAATTTTTTTTTGAGTTGGAAATACGGTAAAAATTCGGATTGTTAGTAACTTGTTCTGTGAGTGTTCTGCAAGAGGATCAAACATTTGTAATAAATTTAAACTTGATAAATGAGCAATGTCTTGCAATAAGAGTAGTACGTGATGCCAAACATCACATGGTCACAACTGAGCTAATGGTTCTTGAAATTTGCTTTGATATATGAGTGCTTTGGATGACAAGCATGTTTCTGGAGCAAATTATGCTCGCAAACCAAGGTTTCACTGTATTTCTATGCTCTCATATTACATTTCTGCTATAGCCATCACAACACATGTGCTCTAGACCTTTCTGCCTCCCCTTCATCTTTGTGAGCTCAGGAGGTATCTCACAAAGGTAGATCATAGTGGACTTATTGTTTATAAAAGGCAGCTCTATCGTGATGTGTTCTTGAAACCACGGGGCACTGTAATAGCATCCACTGATGGGAGACATTGCTGCTGACAAAATATTACAAACAGGGCTATTCTAAATATTTGGAGTAACCTGGTGGTGATTCAAGTGCCCTCTATCATGGCAATATTAACAAGACTCTTCATACATTTCTCGGCCATTTTGTTCTATCTACGAACAAGGTACTGAGGTTTGGAAAAATCTGAGTCTCAGCATTAGCTCTGCAGTTCAGATTCCCTTAGTCTTTTTGAGCCTCAGTTTCCTGATCTGTGAAGTAGAGACTGTAACACTGGCCTTCCAACTTCATAGTGTTGTCATGAGGAACAAATGAGAAAATACATGTGAATGTAACTTGTAAATCATAGACATTCTGTAATTGTAAGCTATTATTATTATTATTATTATCATCATCATCATCATCCATGGGTTGAGATACAATTAATTGCGGGTTTTCATTACAACTCACTATGATCAGCCATCCTTTCAAGGAGGAAAACTTGGTTCAATGATTAGAAATATATTATGGAATGTCAGTAACACTTCCCACTTCACTTGGACTGCCTTCATTCACAAAGTGAAGAAGGACAGGGGTGCCTGGGTGGCTCAGTAAGTTGAGCGTCCAGCTTTGGCTCAGGTCATGATCTCATGGTTTGTGAGTCCGAGCCCCATGTTGGGTCCTGTGCTGACAGCTCAAAGCCTGTAGCCTGCTTCAGATTCTGTGTCTCTGTCTCTCTCTGTCCTGCCCCCTACCCCACTCATGCTCTCTCTCTCTCTCAAAAATGAATAAAAGTTTAAAAAAACATTTTTTAAGGTGAAGAAGGGCAACCACACAGATTTCAGGGATTTCATACGAGGGGTTCTATCAACATCACTTCTTATCTACTGTCTAGGAGTTGATACATTCTATATTCTGATGCAGTCATATCTTAAATATTATTAGAAGATAACTTTGGGACTGGGCTCTTAGCAGACATAAAGTAAAGGGTCCAGAAGGTATCACAGAATGTTTGAGAGTTTGGGCTCTGAAGTCTTCCCAGCTTTCTAACATGGTGTTTTAGTTGGGTTTATACTAATTTATACTACAGGAACAAATTAATCTCGAAATATCAGTGGCTTAACATACTGTAAGTTTTTTAAATCTTTTATGTAAAATCTGATGCCAATCAATAATTGTTTCCTATTCAATGTCTCAGGAATTCAGGTTCCTTCCAACTTAAGACATTGCTGTCTCAACATGTGGCTTCCAAATATGCCATGGCAAGGGAAAACATTACTGTAAAGTAGACGTGCCAGCGTTTGAATGTATTGGCCTCCATGTGTCACCCAGCATTTCATCCATGTTCCATCGGCCAGAAAAGTCCTATGGCTTTGTCCAAGTACCAGAGTTTGGGTAATGTTGTCTTCCCATGTTGCCAGGAAGGAGGAGAGAGCCAACGAGGAGAAGCATTCGGGGTCTCTCCTATACCCAGTTCCACCCCCTTCTTAGTCAAGTGAGTTTTGGCAAGTTAGGTTTCCTTAAGTCTAAAATAGAAGTAAAACCATTTTTAACTCATGGTCACGATAGTGCAGGTCACATGAGACAATTAACGTATGTAAAATACTTAGCATAATGCCTGGTATAGAGTAAGTATGTAATAAATGTTAAGTGTTATTATTGTTGCTATTATTAGCTGATTCATCGATTAGTCAATTGTATTCGGAGTTGATGAAGACATTCTATAGCTGATCTCTGAATTACTGGATGGAAAGTGTTCAGCACAAGGACCATCAGTTTATTTCCAGGAGGCTTTGAGTTTTTTCCCAACAACTAATAAAATATGATGAACTTTTAAATTTCTAGATGAAACTGTTCTCTTGGTCTGAAACTAATACTCCCTAGATCAATTTTATCCAAAAGCCAGATGAAAATGTGTTTGTGTGATAAGATGTCTGCGCATTGAAGGGTTTGTCATTTTCTGCATCCATCGAACAAGACCATGATGGGATTGTTTGTTTGTTTCCTGATGGCTTTTTCATTTGTATTTAAAATGATTCGGAACTTTCTTCTTCTAGTGAGTCAATTGCCACAAAGCTTAAGCAGATGTATCCAGCAGGCAGGAAAATTCTTAGGGGACCTGGCCATTGGCTCAAGAGGGTCAGTGAAAGAGAGGGGTAATGAACATGTACTGATTACCTATTCTCCACTGAGAATCTGATGTGTTGTTTCAACTAATCAGCATAGCAAATTTGTGAGATCAGGGGGCGCCTGGGTGGCTCAGTCGGTTGAGCGTCTGACTCTTGATTTCTGCTCACGTCATTATCTCATGGTCCTTGAGTTCCAGCTCTGTGTCAGGCTCCAGGCTGACAGTGCGAGCTTGGTTGGGATTCTTTCTCTCCCTCTCCCTCTGTCTCTCAAAATAAGTAAATAAACTTAAAAAAATTATTTGTGAGGATTATCCCTCAGTTTACATGAGAAAATTGAGTCTCGGGAGCTTCCAGTAACTGGTCCAAAGTCTCCAATACAGTAATTGCCAGGGCTTAGATTTGAACCATGCTTTGAGGGGAAGGAGGAAAATAATAGAAAGGATATATACTTGGTGGTAAGAAAGAGCTGAGTTCGAATCCTGGCTTTACCTTTCACCAAAACAATATCTCAATTAACTTTTATGATCCAGTTTATCTCTGTATAGTAAAGATAGTGATAATAATGCCAACAATAACAACTAACACAAATGTGAGGCTTTGGGCGGGGATTTTTACATAGAGCTTATGTGTTGAGTTCTCCTGATGTGTTTTTATGTATGTTAACCCACTTAATCTACACAACTATCTGACTGAAGTGGTACACATTATTATCCTTATTTTTCAAAAGACAGAACTGAAATACTCAGTGGTTAAGCAATT